TCTCCCTCTGACCCTCCCCCCTCTCTATCTCATTCTCTCTCTCTCAAATAAATAAATAAAATCTTAAAAACAAACAAACAAAAAAAAACAAAAAAAACTTTCCTTTACAGATTAAAGGAAACAAAGCCAAAACTCCATTTTCCCACAGCTACTCTTTTTGTTTCTTTGGTATTTTTCTGTTTGTTTTCTAACTTTGGTGAAGGCGTGTCCTTTCTCTTCATTTTCTTCATTTTTAATTTCTGTACTCTTCAGAGAGATACTTTTGTAAAATAAATTAATAGAAAAATGAAATGTACAAAATAAATAATACAAGTCCATAGTTTTTATTAGATTAAATGGATATTAAATTACACTTCCAAATAACTATAGAAGTTTAGAAACACATCATCTCAGTTCCTCTTCTATCCTGTTGTGGACCTGTACCTCACAGTCATGGGCAGCAGGGTGGGTAGCGCTGACTTACATCAACTCTTACTGTGTTTTGAAAATTCATATCCCAGAAGAGAGAGATAATTTTGAACAAATTCATTCTTTTTTTTATAAAAAGATTTTATTTTATTTATTTGAGGGAGAGGGAGAGACAAAATGAGCGAGAGAGCAGGAGAGGGGGGAGGCAGAGGGAGAGGGAGAAGCAGACTCCCTGCTGAGCAGGGAGCCGGATGTGGGGCTCGATCCCAGGACCCTGAGATCATGACCTGAGCCGAAGGCAGACACTTAACTGACTGAGCCACCCAGGCTCCCCCAAATTCATTCTTTAGACTGACATTACTCTCCCATTTCCAACTCCTAAATAGTTTACTGGTCATTGGTGGCTTCTCTATCATAAATAAATAACATGCTTAATTTTATAGTCAGGATAAATTTACAGTTAACATTTTATGACAAGCTCATATTTTCAATAAAGCAGAGTTCTTAGTACAGAATTATAACCTGGAAAACGGTTGCCCTTTGTGCTAGAACTATAAAAAATACCATAATCAATGAATTCTTTTAAATAGACATTCTCTTGCATATATGGTTATTTTGATTTTCCTAAATACGTTGTCTATTAGGAAAAGCTAAACAGAGGATACGTCATCTCCCTTCTGCTCCCCTCCTTGCCCTACTAGCTGTTGCTCAACTCAATAGACATTGTCCAGTTCCTCTTTTTTCAGGCTTCAACTGCCATAGATACACCATGCCTTTCATGAAATATCAAAGCGGTAAGGGTCTTCATAATATTTTCACTACTACCTGACAGAAATAAATCTCTTTATTGTTCTTAAAAGACACATCAAAAAGATAAAGTGCAAATACTTCCAAAGCAATGTTCACTTATCTCTAAATCTGCAAAGACTTATCTTCACACCAGGCGTGTTAAAATAGACAGGAACTCCAGCACTTCAAAAAAAAGCCAAATTAGAAATTTAGTTTTGGAGTTCAGAGCTTAGAGCCTTCACCCCCACCAAATTTATTTGCAGAGCCCAATAAAGTTTAATAACTTTGCTTCCTAACAAAGTTGTTTCAAAAATAAGTGTTATCTTTTTCCATATTGAATGTGTGATTTATTGTATTTAACTGGCTATGTAATGAGATCTGGCATGAGGATTGATTAGCATATTACTGGGTCAATCAGTATCATGAAAGGTTAAAGAGTGAAAAACTGAAAACCTGAACTCTCCATTAGAAGAGTTGAACAATTGGGCGCCTGGGTGGCTCAGATGGTTGAGCATCTGCCTTCGGCTCAGGTCATGATCCCGGGGTCCTGGGATCGAGTCCCGCATCGGGCTCCCTGCTAGGCGGGGAGCCTGCTTCTCCCTCTGCCTCTGCGTCTCTCTCTCTCTCTCTCTCTCTGACTCTCATGAATAAATAAATAAAATATTTAAAAAAAAAAAAAGAAGAGTTGAACAATGAAGTGGTGGAGGGAAGAGTGTTTATTAGGTTTTGTCAGTCTGTGTTTATATTAGTGTTGGATGACATCATAAACAGTTCATAAATAATGTACAACCCCAGCTTATTTCTTCTTGAAATGTAATAAACAGGGCGCCTGGGTGGCTCAGTTGGTTAAGCGACTGCCTTCGGCTCAGGTCATGATCCCGGAGTCCTGGGATCGAGTCCTGCATCGCGCTCCCCGCTCGGCGGGAGACCTGCTTCTCCCTCTGACACTATCCTCTCTCATGCTGTTTCTCTCTCTCTCTCTCAAATAAATAAATAAATAAAATTTTTTAAAAAAAAATTAAAAAAAAAAAAGAAAAGAAATATAATAAACAGTGACTCTTTTCCAGTCTCTGCATCTCTGTGTGTTTAATGGGCCTTGCTGGGGTTAGTACTGTGTTTAGCAGAAACTCATTACATTGCAGACATTTCTGGAGTTGGATGTAGTAGCAAAGAAAAACCCTTGGAGCAGAGATAACCAGTAAGAAGGAAAAGTAGCAGAGAAAATGACTAGAAACAAGATCCCAACCAGCCCGTCAGTAGACACCATAATCTTTGTGACCTCAAGGAACAATGTGGTTGAAATAGGCTGATGTGGAGCCAGAGAAGGGCTTATTTTTATTTTGTTTATTGTCTCTCTCTCCCCACTGGAGTGTGAAAGTCCATGGACATGAATTTTTGTCTTTTTTTTTCTACCACCCCCGAGTCCCCAAGTGTTTGGCACGAGCACTTGTTCAGTAAATATTTGTTGAATGAGTGAATGAATGCTTTGTCTTTCTGGATGGATGGGTGGGTGGGGGGACATCCTTTCTATATGAAGGACTATTTCGACCACCATGAAATACTGGAAAGGGACTTGGTTCTGGTAGCTTTTTACATTATATTTTCTCTCCAAACAAAAGGAGCTTAAACATTCTTAGTTAATGTAGGAATTATCTTTTCAGTCAAGAGGGATTACCAGGAAGGATCTAAGTAACCAATGGATCCACTTGAGTCTATTTGTATCTGAGGGAGAAATGTTTAGGTGAATAACACTCCCGTTTTGTCTCTGTTTTGTTTTCATTTTTTTCTGTAAACAAATCCACACCACTATATCAAGATAAAAAATGAATAGTGAGAGTGCACTGACATGTTCTTCAGAGCACATGAGGGCTGGGTCGTACTGGGGTGGAACAAGGTTAGTTAGCCTCCCCCAGTGGCTCTAGACCAAGCAGACAATGTGTGAGGATTTGGAGGTACAGCAAAAGCACCTGAACAGGAACATTGATACCAGGCAAGGATTAAGGGTTTCATATGATTACACAGGACTTTTGACCTTCTGATATTCTTCAGTCACAGGAGTTGGTAAAGGAAAGCTGTTAGTATCAGAGGAGTAAAAAATAAGTCTTGTTCTAGACATCAACTGGATACTCTGTATTGGCCAGCAATTTGATGATAATTCCCTAATTGTTCTCAACTTTATTTTTGCTTTAATTCCCAACCTTCATCAAATCTCCATCAGTAATGGCATTGTGTCTGGAGCATAACATGATAATTAGATGGGGGATTCTTTAACATGAGATTTAACAATCTTAGAACCTATCTTCCCATCTGCCCAGACCCCTAATAGCAGGACAAAGGGACACAAAAAAGCTAAGAATAATCTAACTTTCTAGTTTCTGGATAAGATGGAAGATACAGTGGGATCTTTCCATGAGTAAGTGACCATATTTAATGGTTGACAGTCTGGAAGATAAGCTAAAAGTTAACATGATTTCCTTAGAGAGATTTCAGATTTAAAATATGAACACTTCTTTGGGTAGAAATGTGGATGCTGTGAGTCTGCCATGAACTTAGATATTTTTTCTGTTTAATTACTTCATGTTTAATATCAAGTATGTTAGTCTAAGTAAGTGTAAATTCTCTATTTATCTATGTCTATAGGCCAATTTCAAATCATGTCCAGAACACACACACACACACACACACACACCACTCCTCCACATAAAAGATAAATAAGCTCAATCAAATTAACTAAATTTAATTCACACACTAAATACCTGTTGTTCAGTAAGGAGGGGCATGGTTAATCCAGATTCATCCTGGATTATAGGTAAAGTAACAAAGAGTCACTTTAAAATACTCAATCTCTCCATCCAAAAATAATGAATGTTTTTATTTATTCAATTCTTCTGTTACACATCTAAATTAGTGTTTATAGTTTTCTTCTTTTTAAAAGATTTATCTATTGAACACTACATCTGAAACTAATGATGTATTATATGTTGGCTAATTGAATTTAAATAAAAAATGAAGATTTATTTATTTGAGAGAGAGAGTATGTCCATGAGTGGGGGGGGAGGGGCAGAGAGAGAGAGAGAGAGAGAGAACCCTCATGCTGACTCCCCACTGAGTGTAGCCCTACGCAGGGCTCAGCTCCAGGACCCTGAGATCATGACCTGAGCTGAAAGCAAAAGTTGGATGCTTAACTGACTGAACCACCAGGCGCCTCTATAGTTTTCTTCATGAGGATCTATATTTGTTTTTCCCTTTTAAGTGATTGATGTCTTCGGCATTGCAGTTTTCTTTGTTTTTGTATAAGGGAGACATTGAGTTTTTGCATATATGTCTGTGCCCAGTTGCTTTGTGGATATCTCCCTTGAATTCTAATTATTTTTAATATAGTCTCTTGGGATTTTATAAAAACAATGATATTATGTGCCCCAAGTAATACATTTGACTAATTTCTAATGCTAAGTAACTTTATCTTGCCCCATGGTTTTTGAGTTGTGCACACGTGAGTCAGCCATGGGTAAGTGTGTATTCTTGCCTGGGACTTTAAATCTTGTGGAAATAAAAAAAAAAGGGAAAGGACAGGGAGAGAGATCATTTGCTGTGGTTGCAGAAGACTGGAGGGCCAAGTAGTGTAATGATGACTGATAACATTGAGGGTCTCCCCAACAGATCATTCCTATGAAATAATCTTGGATTTCTTCCTTCCCTTCCTTCCTTGGATTAACCCTGTTTATTACTTGTAGGAAACAAGCACCTTCTCAATCTCGATTATTAATTTATTACCAGTCTACTTTTTCAGTGTTAAAGGGGGACGGGCAGATCATGACTCCCAGGCATCCTACCAAGTAGGCGGATCACCTGAGGGGCAACCTGTATCCACTCACAAATTCATCTCACATTAGCAGTGAGGACTCAGGTGTCACCCCGAATTGTTATTTTACTTACTCATAAGTTTAAGGCATAGATTTCTTCCTTTTTTAATTTCCTTCTACATAGAGTTCTCTGGCTTTCCAGTTGATTCTGTGAACACTCCACTATCCCTCCAATTAGTTCCTCTACTGTGTGAATTAATCAAATTCACAGTTTCATTGAAAATGGAGATTGGAAAAGAGTCCTGACTGGGGTGGAGAGTGGAGTAGATAGAGATGCAACAAGGCCAGAATTCAGAGAACAGTGATTAGATCTGGGGCAGCATAGGATGTCTGGATTCACTCAGTAGTAGGGAATAGATTAGAATGACCAGTCAGAGAAGATTAGAGAGGGCTTTAGGTTAAGAATCTTAGGCTAAGAAAATAGCCTATGGGCTTTATGAGCATATGAGGACTTTTCATAAAAGTGTGAGTTGAAAACATTAGTTTTAACAGACTATAAAAATGGAACTTTTCTTACCATAATTTCAGTGGAAATTGAATATTTCTGAAACTTTAATAGGGGTTGAATATGTACTTCGGATCCTGCAGGACTATGCAAAGCATGCTAGAATATTGGAAACCTATTGCTTTTCGTCTTGTGAATGCTCACTTCCATCTCTTAAGTGTGTGGGGGTGAACAGACCCGAGGGAGTTTCTCTGAACAGGGGTGCCTGTGGGTCTATTTATCGCCCTTACAGGGGGCGCTATGGACAGTGTCCTGATAACTGCAGTCAGCAGTCCTCAGAGAGACACTTTGGAAAACCTACAAAAGTGCTCCCCAAAAGAGGGGCGCCTGGGTGGCTCAGTCAGTTAAGTGTCAGACTCTTGATTTAGGCTCAGGTCATGATTTCAGGGTTGTGAGAGCAAGCCCTGCATCGGGCTCCATGCTGGGCGTGGAGCTTGCTTAAGATTCCTTCTCTCCCTCTGCCCCTCTCTGCTTGCATGCTCTCTCTCTTAAAAAAAAAAAAAGTGCTCCCCAAATGGGAAATGAATGGAAATAAAACAGTATTTGTGCATCCATCACATCCAGAAGGAGGAATGCCTTTTGTTAACCACCTGTCACAACTCTTTTTATCTCTCATTACATTTTTTCCGGGTCCTGGCTCTTGAGGTGTCCATTAGAACAGCCATAAGTGGAGGAGAAAGTGACAGAGAAATAGAGGAGAAGCAAAAAAGTCCCCACCCTCCATTGCAGGCTTACATCTGATAGAGACCCTATCAGGGGTGGGGAGGTGGGAGAACAGAGAGGAAGATTTTTAAATTGTTTTGGACCAGATTGAGACTGTTTGTGACCAAAGGGCCTAGAAAATTTTCTGATCTGCCTGTGACTTGTGGCAGATGCAGGGAGAGAATTAGTGCATGAGCACGTTTGAATGTAGAAGAAGGAATAATGCTGTTTTCCACTTGCACACTATTGAGTCCAGCTCCCTGAATACAGTATTTACATATTGTTGTGCAAAGGGGAAAGTTTAGTATGAGGAGACAAGGGGAATCAAATCAGATGGGATGTAATAACAGCTAGCTAGCCCTGAACTTCTAAAACCTTAAAGCTGGTGATGATGACAGAAAGAAATGGACAGATGTGAGAGAGATTTAAAGGACACATTTTTTCTTCTTCTTCTTCTTCTTTTTTTTTTTTTTTTAGATGATGGCTAATTGAATTGAACAAGAAGATAGAAGATTAAAAGATTAGTTTGAGGTTTTAAGCCTGGAATAATGGTGGCACTATTTACAGAAACAGAGTAATCAAAAGGGTGTCCATTATTAGGAAAATAAAAAATAAAAGGGAAAAAAAGGAATGTGTTTTGGAAAGTGAAACTAAATAATGAGAAGGGAACTATTCAGAGGTCTTTGGAAATCAGAACAAAGAAGAGCAGGTAGGTCTTCATAGAAGGGAGGGAAGGGGATGATACAACTTGTATCATCTCTAACACTATCTAAGAGTGCTGAATAATGATGATAATAATACTAGTAATAAATTATATCATTGATGCTTGCAGGAATAGTAATGGACTTACTGTATGCCAGGCACTATGGAAATGCTTTAAATGCCCATATAGTAGCATTCTTAGGTTTATGGCACTATTTACTTCAAGAGAAGGAATAGGAGACTTATTGCTGAAGTCATTTATTTATTATCGGTTAGACATCCTGGTACCAATGGTATCCTAAAAGAATGATCACATATGGAAATGGCCAGTTTCCCAAAGAGATACACAGACAAGGATATGACCGCTCACATATAAAATTTCAGTTAGACAATGCTGGCTAACATTTTCTACCCGGATGCTCTATTTGCTTTTGTCATGTGTTGTTTGAAATTTGAAAATTTCTTCTTTCATTTATTACTTTTAAAAATGCATATTGTGATTTTGGTTTCCATATTCTGATTTATTGTTTTCTCTGAAACTCATGTTCCTATTTCTTTTCTTAAAATATAAACTTTGTATTTTAGAAATGTTTTGTTTTTACAAAAAAGAAAAGTTTTTGGGTCTTCGTTCTGGTTCACAGAGATCTTAACATTTTCAAGCTAGCTATGTGTTTTGGTTTCCCTTTTAATATTTTATCAATTACTATTCTGTTTCAGGTGTATGGGCTTTAAAAGCATGAATTTATGCCTTGTTGCCTCGACTGAAAGTTTTTGTGTCGTACCCACAGTGAAGTTGTATACTAAGCAGAGTTTCAACTGTTTTTCACAAGTCAGCTATTAGTGTTTGAAAATTAATTATTGTATCATGTTGTTGTACAGTGATAATCCAGAGACATTTTTTGTCTGCTAGGTTATTTCCCTCTGCACTCAATGGCCTCAGGTCAGGTTCACTAAATACTGCTTGTTTTACTTCCTTTGTAATTCTCAATTCACTGCATTACAAAAGATTCCTAATTTGTCTCCCTACTTTCAGCTCTGCCTCCAAAAATATATGTGCATGCTGTTGCAGATCTGATGATGTTATTCACCATCATCCCCAGGTGGATTTCAGGTCCTTATCCAGGCACTTGGCCTCACACGGTCGGATCTGGTCCCATCTCTAGTCTTACCCTTTGCCCTTCCAAATTATCTGTTCTCTATATGCCTCATACCCTTCCTCCTACCTGCAATTCTAGCTACCCTTTCCTTTTCCTGCCAGGGCTTTAGAATCGATCTCAGGTATTCTCATTAAACTCTAGCTTGGACGAGGAGCTCTGCTGGTCCTATGGACCATTGAGCCTTGTGAATTTTTTTTTATTAAATCATTTAGTGTTAGAATGGAGCTGGTCTCTTTACTATAATATCTTTCCAATTATGCTCTACTCCAGGATAAGAATCTTGTCTTACTCATTTTTAAATAAACTTTTTATTTTGAAATAATGTTAGATTCACAGAAAAGTTGCAGACAGAGCAGAGAATCCCTGTAAAGGTCCCACCTATTTTAGTTTCCCTAAGGGTATTATCTTCCATTACTGTGGTATATTTGGCAGATCTAAGAAATCAACATTGACACATTACTGTGAACTAAACTTCAAACTTTATTCAGATTTCACCAGTTTTTCCATGAATTTCCTTCTGTTCCGGAATCAGTCCAGGACACCACATTGCATTTAGTTCTTTGTCACCTTAGTCTCTGCTGAGCTGGGACAAGTTACTATTTTCCTTGTTTTTCTTATTCAAATTTGTAACCCAGCAGCTAAATGGACTAAACAGATATAACTTAGATAGTAGGCTGGGTTTTGATAGTTCTTCTGCTTGCTCATGTTGCTATCTTCCCGGCTTGATGTTCTAACTGTTGCTAAAACTTTGTTGCTTTGCAGTGCGCTGTTATCTGGCTGCTAGCCCCAGCTAGCTTTCACTTTGGACTTCATGCTAGCTACTTCTGGCTCATAGGCCCTTTACATTTCTCTTGGATCCATAGAAATTAACCAGATGGTTAAGATGAAAAGGTTCCAGACATATGGTTAAAGGTTACAGAACTAAGGAGCTAAAATGTTTCATATTCACTGACTGCTCAACCTAACACCATCAAGGAGTCAGGTGAGATTCCAAAATTATTTGGCCCTCTGGCATTGCAAATACAGTAGGACTTCACCTGCACGAGACCAGAGGAGGTCAGACCCTCCTTAGCGTTTTGTACCATCCGCTCCTTTCAACTACAGAAGGGCAGAACCGTGCTCAGAAGCATCCATTACATTAGACAAACCTCTCTTTGGAGTCAAGCCCAGTGTAGGGACTGCCGCCTTGGTTGGATCAAGCAGCAGTGAGAATGTGCTCCTGTGGTGGGTATATGGCACTGGGACCAGTAATTCACTCATAGATCTGAAAGAACAGTATAAAGTGGGCAAGAGGAAGAGTTCTGGAAATATCTGTATGCAGTTTTGTAGCTTTAGGCTCAGATAGTTCATTCATCTAAAGACTATCCTTGAGCTTCGTAAATGATAAACTTGTCCTAACACATGGTTTTAGACAAAGAATCTTTAGTTTGGGTGCTTAATTTTTATTCCCTTGAAGTCTTCAGTGATACATAAGCCTGCTCTAAAAGCAACGAGTGAAAAAATTACTTGGTCTAACTGGATACAGAAAGTAATTTTATAAATTTACTAACAATATCCCAATAGACTTTTCACATTATCCCCTTTATAACCCTTTGACAAAAATACAATTTAGATAAATCACAGCTCTGGAAGTACCTGCAGCTGAGAAACACAGTAATGAAGATTATAGGGTTTTTCATGAATGCCATCCCCAAAGAGTTACAGCCAAATTATTTAGAACCTATGGGGGAAATAAAAGTCAGGGCTCATTTATATGTAATTTTATTTGTCCTGAGGCCAGCCTGACTATGAGAAACAAAGGTTGATGTAGGGCACAAAGCTTTAGCTCAAGACAGATGTTGGACTTTTGGACTATACCTGTCAACACAGTAATTGGTACATGCATGATACCCTAAAAATTATATGTGTAATCATATAGGACACAAATTAAAAGTCAAATCTGGACCTTGGGCATTAACACCAGGCCAGTAAGTCACTTCTGACTCTGAAAGGCAATAGTTCAATTGTTGTTCATCTTGCTAAAT